TCCCATCCTGCACGCCAGCCTTTGATCAGCACTACGTACAGCAGCAGAAGGGTCAAATTTATCAACGCTCATCTAACAGCCTGCCCTGGACTCAAACCACTGCAGCCTAATTTCAACAAGCAGCAAAAAACCTGCCTTCCTACATGGACACCTAACAGATTCTGGGCCCTGGTGTGCTACACCTGTTGCACCATCGATATGGCGTGGCAGATTAGACTTCCAGTTGTACAGAATGAGACATCTTGCTCGCAATGATAAAAAAGGCCAAAGCATAAGTCTGGGCTCGGGAGAGACCTGGATCTCATCGGGCCACACCAAATATTGCCAGCTGTGGCTCTGGGTCTATGGTTTTATTGCACATGTACAAAAATGTCTCAAAAATCTTGTCCCAAAATTGTCAAAATTGCGTCTCTTTGTTGTTGTTTTGAGTCTTTTACTTGTCATTTTGCATCTGTCTGTAATTTCAAATCTTTTTATGATCGCTTTGTGTTTCAGTAGACTTTTATTATTTCTTTGAAGTCTTTTTGCATCTCTTTGTGGTTGTTTCGCATCTCTTTGTAGTAATTTTGCATGTCTTTGTGGCCATTGTGTGTCTCTTTGTAGCGTTTTGTGTCTCTTTGTGTCTGTGTGGTTGTCTTGTGTCTCTTTGTAGTCATTTTGAGTTTTTCTGTAGTTTGATTGACTTTCTTACCCCCTGCTCCATAGACCCTTTCAGAAACCCACCCCTGCTCCAACATTACCAGTACAAAGTGAGCAAATATTACAGTCATCTTTCTGACAAAGAAAGAGGAGGCACCTAAACAGACAGGAGGCATTTTAAACCACAGTCACAGCCATAGATCAGACAGGTCCGCCTGTACTGTAGCTTTTCACTACTGATGATCTCCCCACCTCTGTATGTCTCAGCACAACTGGGAATCATTGAAATATGTTATATAATATGGATGCAGCCAGTAACATGTGAACCCTCCAACACATGCTGTCACAAACTGGGAGAGGAGAGTCACCTGTAGATTAACTGCGACTGTGTGCTGTATACTTAGACAGCAAAGTAGATGATAAAGAATGGTTTTCTGAAATGTCACAATCATTAACATGGTTAGTGGGTCAAATATGCTAAGTCACAGAGGAAAAGAAACACTATCTTTCTTTTCCCTGGTGTAAACTGTAGCCTACATTTACTCTATTGGCACCTTGGGGGCAGATTATAATTTACTGGTTCCTTTGGGGCAGGTTATAATGCACTGAATCTTTTTATCTCACATGTAGTGTTCTGTCTGGTATTAACGAGAATCAAGGGGCTGGTTCCTCTTCCTTCACAGTAAACAGCTAACGAATATGACACAGTAAGTGGGCTGTATTACGGGACATTTATAATGTGTTATTTTCTTGAAATGACACAACTTTGACGTCACTGGTAGAGACCAAAAACAGAGCTTAAAGAGAGTGGATAAGAGAGTGGATATTCATCAGGTGGCCACGAACAACTCTGACTGAAATCTGAATGAACAACTGTTTGCTAACAGGTTGAACATCATTTGCTGTTGGTTACTACAATGTGCAGTTTTCTCAAATTGTGCATGAAACCCTGTATTTTCCAGGTATAGAAGTAATTGTAAGGTTTACTGCAGCTGATATTTTAGCAAATATCGCTTGTGCCCGCAACTAAAGTTTTGAATTTCCTTTGGTGTAAATGTTTTCTGGGTTTCCCTAAGTACAAATCTGAAGAAATTTAGAAAATCAGTCAAACTGTTTGGCTGAAGAGTGAGCTCTTTTTCTTATCATACTATATCTAGTCTTTGGGCACATGGGACTACTGTTTTTTCAGTATATTTCTTTATATTTTAGGGAAATATAGTTCTCTCATGTGTCCAAAGACTAAATACAGTATGATAAAAAAATGGCTGTATCCCAGAAACTATAAGAAGCGCAATCAAGTGTTTTGTTTGTAGGAAGTTGAAAATCAAAGCTATGCACATATAGGCAATGGAAAAAAAACTTACATTGAAGATATTTAATACTATGTTAATGTTTTTCCTCCATCCTTCCATCCATCCATCCATCCATCCATCCATCCATCCATTTTCATCCGCTTATTCGGGGCCGGGTCATGGGAGCAGCAGGCCAAGCAGAGCACCCCAGATGTCCCTCCCCCAACAACAACAAGGGATATGTAATCCCCCCCAGTGTGTTCTGGGTCTGCCCCAGGGCCTCCTACCAGTGGGACGTTACCGTAACATCTCCACTGGGACGCGCCCAGGAGGATCCTGATCAGATGCCCGAACCACCTCAGCTGACGCCTTTTGACACGAAGGAGCAGCGGCTCTACTCCGAGCTCGCTCTGGATGTCCAAGCTCATTACCCTATCTCTCAGGCTGAGCCCAGCCACCCCACAGAGGAAACTCATTTCGGCCTTTTGTATCCAGCTGAGCATTTAGCAGCTAAATAGACACATTTTTCCCTAAGGAGTTGGTAGAGACCAAAAACGGAGCTAAAAGAGAGTGAATACCTTCCTTACATTAATCAGGTGGTCATAGAGACATAACTCCTAATGAATGTTAGTGTTGCTTCATATCTCCTGGATGTGTAAAAGGGGAGCTGCCCATTGGTCCGACAGCCCATTGTTCCGACCATATTAAACCCATTGTTCCGAAGTCCGTTCCAAAATCATCATGATGCCCTGTGGTTAAGGTCTGGTTAGGTTTAGGCACAAAAACCACTTGGTTAGGGTTAGGAAAAGATCATGGTGTGGGTTAAAATGAAAAAGAAAGTGACAAACATAAGCTTTGAGCCTGCTTCGCCTCAAGCCTTTCCCAGCTGACCCAGAGCTGGTCACGGCACACCATCAAGGCAGAAGTACACCCACCGGGAGCCATTCAGCACCGTGGACCGTCGGACTAATGGGATGTCGGACCAATGGGCTGTCGGACCAATGACATGGACCCGTGTAAAAGGGCAGCTGTTTGCTAACCAGTTTACTACAAACAACTTTATGAGATTATTTTTGTTAGTGTTGTGTTCACAGCTTCTTTTCACTGGGCCCATTACAGCAAAATAAAAAATGAAGTCAGTATTTAAGTATATAATGCTGATAGCTCACCATAGTAAGTCATGGCTGGTATATTTACTGACATGCTGTCATTGTACTCAGTGCTATACTACTCAGACAATTCCAAGTTTGCTTGGGAACACACTGATTTAAAATTATGGAAATATTTGTTAGCTTCCACCTGGACTTGTTTACTGTTGATTAGCTTCCCTTGCTCTTTGGTAAAAAACAATATGCAGACACACAAAAAGGCAAAACAAATTTTCAAGGCAAGACAAAGCTGTGTGTAAATCTGCAACTTTGCAACCCAGTCACCAGAAAAAAAAAATGTTGGCCTTGTACATCTAATGGATATGTTACATTTGCACATTATTATGTACCTGATATGTTGAAACTTGGTTAATGGTTAAGTTTAAATTTAAGTTTAGGCACAAAAAACACCTGGTTATGGTTAGAAAAAGATCATGCTCTGGCTAAAAAAAAAAAGTTTTGGTGGCACAATCTCAGCAGGAAACATAGCGATGTCTTGGTAAATATCAACCGCTTTTCATTGCACTATTCCGGCTGGAAATGCAGCAATGTCTCAGTAAAAAACAACTATTTTTCGTAACACTTTCTGGCAGGAAACCCAATGATGTCTTGGTCACTACTCCTGGTGTAGACACAACAACAGGTCTCAAAAAAAAACTCCCACTTTGGGGGCTGAAAAGCCGCTGGAAACACAACCAGTTTTGTTGTTTATTGGTCTCGAACAGTGGTCTGAAGCATGGCAGGCGTCTTGCCTAGATGTTGATGCCCTCCTCCTCCCCCTGATTAAGTCAGTTCATATACTACATTGCCTCAGAAACATCAATATGATATGTCTAAAACCTGAAAATCACATATTTGTGGTTTGCAGAAACGTACAATGCCAACATGTTCTTTGGTTGGCTTGTCGCACTTTGGCTGTGTGGTGTTGTATTTTCTCAATCCTATCCTGGAGGTTCAGATTAGCTTTGTGTAACAGAATCCCTGTGTTTTGGCTCAACCACTGATTCGGGTGACACCCCGGGAAGGAGCCATGAATTGGTCCTTGTCAATGGCCACGGACAGCCTGCACGTTTCTCCACGGCTCAGGAAGGATTAGTGTTTGGAGGTAATTGCTGCACAATCCAGAGAGGCCTCTGGCTTTTCCTTGTGAGGAGACAATTGAGAGAACTACAGAATATTTTGTATGTGTGAAATATAACCACACTGAGACGTGTTAAGCTTCTTCCTAGCTTGAGGGAGAAACTTTTCACTTTTTATTCAGGGAAATAAGGAGTTTGTGCATGCTGAGGTCAGGATCATGTTGGTGACACATGAAGAGTACAACAGTCTTTAAGGGACTTAATTGCTCATTAAGGTGATGAAACATTTTCGAGGCGAGTGAACTTTTAAAGGTCGATTGCAGCATTCTGACCATAATTTTATGTCTTCTGACAAAGATTGCATCATTAAGCCTTGGCCAAGATGTTCATGCTCAGTTTGCCTCGTCTTTTCATCTATGCACGAGGTGGATCCAGGATTATTTGTCAGTCATCACCTCTCTGTGAAGAGATTTTTAAAACCTTCAAAACTCTCTAGGAACTCCTGTGTACAACTTTCTGGTTTATAACTTTCGCTGCCTCATAATCATACAAGTCTTTTGCTCTTCTTCTGTGTGGGACAGTCCTATGCACACACACACACACACACACACACACACACACACACACACACACACACACAGGACCTGAGCTACAGCCTTGTCTCCCTCTGTATCCAGAGATGAGCAGGACCGCACCTTCTGTGAGCGCTACCTGAAACTGGAGATGCAGGGGTACCAGTGAAGGGTTAGCTTTCATTGTCTTTGTCTTTTTTTGTTGTTGTTGCCCCTCCTGCTTTTTTTTAAACATAGACAGGTACTGGGTGTTAAGAATATTAACATACAATGCTCTGGTATTTATTTTTTTTACGTAACCTCTGTCACTGACGCCAGGTATTTATAGCCAAGCAGGGTTAAGGAGATGAAAGACCTTAAACGAGTAGCACTGGATACTCTTGACTTTCCTGCCTCCATTTCTTGGTGTGTTTTCTGTGTGGAATTAAGCCGCCTGCCATTTGAGCTCTGAGGACACTTTTCTGTACTTGTGTGGGGGAAGGAATCCTATTTTATTTTTATTTTTTTATTATTGTGGGTGAAGATAAATACTTTGACAAGAGGTATGTATTTTTTTAATTGATTTGCTTTATTCGATTATCATGATTATTTTAAACCTGGTTCTGTGACATATGAGTGAGCGACTTTAAATCTCTGTCATTTAAACTGTTTTTACCATAAATGCACTTTCATTCATTTATTAATCATAATGTGAAGGGTTAAAGGGTTTAATTAAGATGTTTTTTTGCAAGGCTGATATTTGAATTAGGAGCATTCTATGTCAAACATGTTCAGATTCTTTAAATTATTACATTCAATTCTATCTATTTATGAAAATGGATAATTCTGTTTTGAGAAAAGATAAGTTTCCTTTGTCATTTTTTGTCACACTTTTCCAAAAAACTAATTAAACTTGACAACAAAAAGGATATTGCTTATAAATTCTATGGTCAGACGTACATGCTGACACTGATTCTCTGTTTAACTGACAGTATCATTCTGTGGTTTATCTCAGACATTAAGGGGTATTTTTGTGGGGCTGAGATCTTTCAGCTATTTCTCAGCACGGGGAAGTGAGAAGGGAGGGGAAGCAGAGCCGACACAAAAGGCAACATTATTCCCCAGCGGATCTGCGCTACATCCTACTATGAATGGAGTATTGAAAAACACAACATTGGGGACTAGATTATTTTTCATCCCTCATAACTGAGCCATTTGTCCCAGAGTTTCGAGTGGTTTGCTGGTACAGTCTGCATATGAGTCAGCCGTGGTTCTTGAGTGCTGTGCTGGTGCTAAACTCCTCACCTCCCAATTGGAGGCACAGGGTCTCTCTGAGGGCCTCTGGCCTTGTGCGCTGCATCTTTTCATACAATGCAGTCCAGTGAAAATGGACTGGATCTGGTTTAGGCCTGCACAGTGCAGAGTTGTTTCTGTGGCTGCTGTTAAGTGTTTTCTTGTCAGTAATGACCCCCAAAAAAGTTGTGCTTTAAATGTACCCCCACAAGCTGAAGATAACTGTGTATACAGTACAGTGGCTCAGGATTTTAACACCCCCTCCTCTTTCTGCCCCTGCAACCTGCACTCCAAGGAGACGAGAGGCGCCCCTGCAGTGTCATCAGGTGCCTAAGCGTTTTGGAGGGTTCTAGTGACAGATTGCAGGAAGCAGCGTTTATGCCTGACGATGGGGACCACAGAAAGCAGAAATGTCTTTTTGTGCCCCATGGGCTCGGAATGTCCACTATCTCGAGGGGCCAATATCAAATTCTCCCCTCATCATCCCCTAATACACATTCCAGTGTAAGGTCAGGGGGAATTCTGCATGAGCGAAGAGACAAACAACCCAAGGCCAAGCCACACACTGTGGTCTCCTGGTGACAACACACTTATTATAACACTATTGAGTTCATTTCTGGGATGTTTTTGGATTTAGTGATTCCAAATTCCCACTTTATTGTATTGCTTTTGACTGCATATACGATAAAGAGGAACACCACCTGGATTGTCAATTTCAATACGTTACTTCCCTGGCCTAGGTAATTCCAAATGATATTTGCAAACATGCAGCTGACTCGCCGCAGATGTTGGCATTGTCCATTTCTGCAAACTACGAAAAGGTTACATTGCAGGTTTTAAATGTATCATATCAAGGTTTCTAAAGTGACGTGGTATACGAGCTGACTTTAGATTGGACTGTTCCAGAACAACAGACAAAAAGACACCAAACACGTTTTCACAGTTTTTTTAGGCACCAAATGTGGGTGTTTTGTAGCAACCCATCACCGTTTTTCCAGCAGCTTTTTAGGCACCACACATTGGTGTTTTGTAGCAACCTGTTGCTACGATTTCCAGCAGCTTTTTACACACCAGACTTGGGTGCTTTGTAGCATCTCATTGCTGTTTTCAGTGGCTTTTTAGGCAACACCCATGGGTGTTTTGTAACAACCAGTCACTGTTTTTCCAGTAGATTTTTAGGCACCAACTTTAGGTGTTTTGTAGCAACCCGTCTCTTTTTTCAACAGTATATTAGGCACCAAACGTGTTTGTTTTTTAGACCCATCGCTGTTTCTCCATCAGGGTTAGTACCACAAAGGTGGTTATTTTTACCAGGACATAAATGGCTTCTCCAGATGTGATTGGGTATTTAAAATCAAAACATGATCAATTGTTTTTTATGCCTAAACCTACAAATTAATCACAGCGCTGCTGAAACATAAAGTTTCAATGTATCTACTACATAAAAATGTGCAAATGTAATGTATCTGTGGTTTGCAGTTACACACAGAACCAATATTTATGCTGGTAAGTGGGATGGAACATGAGGCACTCTCCCAGCCTCAAACTTGTGATGTTGTTACGTATAAAGTCTGGAGCTGAATGGCAGCCTGATTTTGTGGATCCACAGAGAATTCATTTGTTCTATTTATACCCAGATGAGCCTGTTTCTATTGTAGTAGGTGTACCCATATACTCAGAACATTCCACTGGGTGCTCTCAGTGTCATCTAGAACTTTCCCAATTCATTGTCGGTGGAGCAGCTCCAGACTTTATGCTTGATGATATCTGAAATTTGAGTTTTAGCACTCTAGTTTTTGGATTTGGGAGAGAGTTGTACATGTTTACTTATTCTTTTTGGACTGTCTTAGATTCTAGGAACAACATCTGTGTTTTTGAAAATGGGCATAAAAATTTGACTCTTTATGTTTTTATTCTGTCAATTATATCCTCACACCACAGCATCATCTCACTATAGCGTTTTCCTGAATCCCCTTGCAGTATTAGTTGAATGTCATTCATCCCAGTTTCTCACTTAAGAAGAATGAAGGCTATTCAGTGTCTCACTGTGGCACTATCTAACTCTGATTATTGAGTGACTGTCAGTGAATCCCAATATTCTCTGTCCAAAGGAAAATCCCCTTGATTATCCAAAGCCACGACACAGGTGTCTGCCTCTGTCTGTAACATTAGCCCTCCCCAGCTGTTGACTGTGGGAGGAAATCAAACTTCCTCAGCTTAAATCATCAATGTGGCCGACGTCACCCGTCATGTTGCAGCCTGTTACCTGCTTACAGGTGGGTACGTGGCGGCCATTTTGTGCTTACAAAACAGCAACGTAACTCTACTCCCTGCTCCCACTGTATTATTGGCAAGAGCAGCACAATTCGGTGGCACATGCCCAGATCTGGTAAACTGGGGCTCCTGGTTTGGTATTTGTATGCCACAAGAGCTTCCTTACAGCTCTCTTTTGTCCATGGCAAGTGATGTGCACCACATGAGCTCTGCAAACGATTTCTTTTTGAGCTACACATTTTCCGAGCCTGAACTCAGACTACCATCAATACCTACTACAGCACAATAACAACAGCCGCAGGCTCCATCAGAGAAAACAATCCAATACTATAATTAGGCTTCTCTGAACCAGGACAGAAAGTAGTGATTGTTTTGTAGTAGTAGAAAAGTGCCTACTACATTTAGAGGTGTGTTTAAGCACAGTGCAGGACTTTTGGGAGTCTGGTGAGAGAGACTGACAGTGTGTGAATGTGTGTGTTGCAGGTGGATGGTCAGTCAGGCAGCCATGCGAGGCCAGCGTGTGGTGGAGAGCGCGTGTAGGTGCTGGAACCCGGCCATCTGGCTCCTGGTGTCGCTGCTGGGATCACTCGTCTTGGTGGCCGTCAGTGTGCTGCTGCGACTTGGTGAGTGTGTCAGTGGGGGTCGGTTCCACCCTGAGACATTTTTGGTAGTTGTGGCCAGATGGGGCAATTGAAAATCTCGGCACACCAAACCAAAAATTATAACCAAATGTCAGGAATTCTATCATGCTGTTGTGGTATATTGCAGAGTTAAAAAAAACTATATCAATATGAGAGTGAAGGAATCTCATACTGATGAACTTTGGTTTCATCTTTTACTCTTAAAGTTACCAAATATCTGATGTGCATGGGCTTATTACAGTACAATTAACATTTTGAGTTCCATAGCAATCCTGTTTTAATGTGTTATGTATCTGTATTTACATGCTACAATAGGCTGGTGTTTCTTTTCCTTAAAAAGACAAATACAGCTTTCATTCGAAGGAGTATATTGATTATATGGAACAAAACATGTATTAGGAACAAGACTACTTAAGTTTGAAAACACCACACAGAGGCTTCCAATTTATTTCTATTATTTTTGCAAGGGGGTGCCAGTGGGGGCTCAGCTACTGTATCAGTGTGGCCATGGCCCCCCCTGGCCACCGCTTGACAACGCTTCTGCTGAGGGTCAGGGCCATTAGCTCCAAGTTGTCTGACTGCTGAATGCTACATGTGATTAGGAGCAAAAGGTGTAGTTTACTTTATTTGGGTCCATTTTTGGAAAATATGGGGATACAGTATTTAGTAAAGACATATTAAAGCAACCCCAGTCTGAAATACAGTTTAAAATAAAGGCCTTGTATTTTTTTGTTTACTTTGATTTTAAATATCTGTGGTGCATTGTCATTGTTAAAGGGACAGGTCACCCCAAAATCAAGATATTTTCGTCTCATCTGTAGTGCTGTTTATCAGTCTAGGTTGTTTTGGTGTGAGTTGCTGAGTGTTGGAGATAGGCACTCAGCTTGTGGTGCCCAAAGTGTCAAAATAATTATTTCCAGAAATCATGACCCAGTTACTCAAGATAACCTTGTTGTGAGCAGTTTCATGTAGGAACTATTTTCTTTCTACTGAGCAACATCCACCAACTATATCACTGCGCAGAAAGAAGAGTGCATCCACTGCTAGCTCACCTAGCACCACCGAGCTAGCTAATGTTACAGCTCAGCCGAGGAGAATGCCATTAATTTTTACATCTCGCACTGTCTAGAGCACGAGCCTTCTGCACAGTGATACGGTTGGCGGGTGTAGTTTAATAGAAAGAAAACAGTTTCTGCATGAAACTGCTCACAACATCATGATTTCTGGAGAGAGACATTGCAGCTGAGTGTCTGAATTTTTTTATTTTCTTTTGGCACTTTGAGCACCACAAGCCGAGTGCGATGTAATTTCATTATATTAGAGAGAAGGCAGACATCTCCATATATCTCCAACACACACTATCTCTTTAAACTAAAGGCCTTGTATTTTTCATTTGTATTTGTGGTGCATTCTTTGTTAAAGGGAATGAGGTGAAATATATATGAAACAGCTGAGCTGGGTGCACTTTCAAGTTCTCAATCACTGTAAAAAGAAACTGTGTGTTTAAACTTAAAAAAGTTAGCGTCCAGGCTGTCTTAAATTTTTAAGCTGAATGAATTTGAGAAGACACGTTGAATCATTATCAAATTACCTCAACTTGTCTTCTCCAATTCAGTCAACTTAGAGTTCAAACACAAGCTTTTTTAAGTGTGTGTGGGATAAACTAGCTTATTAAAGTGAATCATTTATTAGAAGAGAAGTTTTTTTTTGTACACTGGCCCAGGAGCAGAGGTTGGCTGTGTAAAGACTGAAACTGATTCCCAATGCCTTATCTAACGCTGCTGTCTACTACTCTTAACATTCAACAAACCACCATGTCCGTGCTTTTTAAACTCTTAAACATGATGACCCTTGCATCAGTAGTTTTTAAATCATCGATATTCTGCTGTCGACTCCACCGCACAGACTAAACTTGTACTTTAATAGCTGTTCCAAAAAAGGGAAAAGGTTAGTACTGCCATACACTGAAATAGAACAATCTGGTTTCTTGTGTGTCAGTGCTGAACCACATATTTGGGGATTTAATATGCTCAAGAACCCAGTGTTCCTGTAAGTGAACTCCCTGCAGATGAGTGCTTTTGTGTCCACAGTTGCTGTTCGTCCCATGTTTACCAGTGATAGCAGGCTAAAAGCCCTGAAGTTATTTTGAAGGGAGCCAGCCAGGATCAATTCCACTCACTGGCTGTTATGGATCGACAACTACCAAGAGAGAGCAATTAATTCAAATGTGCTGACACCAGCTTGTTGCTTTTGTCTCTTCACAGAGCCAAAATATATCCAAATGTGTACCTCACTAACATTTTCTTTTTGCGTGTGTGTTCAAATTTCAGGAGACATGAAAATAAACAGACGGGCTGTAGATGGTAAGTACTATTTAATTTTACTTTTCTGATCCAACTTAGAATAACAACTACATCTCCATGGAATATAAACCGAAAATGTAACCTACATGTGTCGCTGAATAGGTAGTTTCAGTATGTATGTACACTCTGTATATATTTCACTGCCACAAACCAATGAGACCAGCCTGTGAATTGACCTACATTGGGTGTGAGGGGTAGAAAATCCCCCCTGCTGTCATTGTGAGATGTTGAAACCTGAGATATTAGTCTTCAGACGTTAGATTGTCCTCTATACGTACATATCCTGAAACATCTTCCAGTGTGTGTCTTAACACACCTCTCGGAAACACGAGCCCTCTGTGTTTTGCATATCAGTATCAAGATCAGCCTTTATCAGCCAAGTATGTGAACACATAGAAGGAATATGACTCCATACTCCGTACTGTACGTAATAGGCATGACAGCTAAGAACAAGGACAACGAGGCAGAACAAATAAAGGTAAAGAATAGACAGGACTATTATGTACAACAGAATGTGAAAAAGGGGTGTATATGAAGCAGCTTTCTATTTCTATGACCCAAAACTGTGGAACTCTCTCCCCTTGGATCTTAGAGCAACAAACTCCCTTTAATTTTTCTTAATAAAGACATTAAAACCTATCTTTTTAATTTGGTGTATTGTTAATGTTTAATTGCATTCTCTTTTTTTAAATGGTTATTGTTTATCTTAATCTGATCTTTTTTTCTAGGCACTTTGGGCTGCAACTTTGTGTGAATGTGCTGTACCAATTAAGCTCTTCTCCTTCTTATTAATAGTATACAATATATATTATTATTATATTAAAGCGCCAATGACCAACATTTAAAGTAAAAAGTCAAGTGTTCTGTATGTTGTAAACTATAGAAATAGTGCTGTTAGGACAAAATTGTGGGTTTTTATTTACCCAAAAAATGCATGAAAAATTACCAAAAAAAAAACAAAACAAAAAAACCTTAATATAATAACTAAACAAGGTGTTAAATGAACAAACTGACCTGTCAAAATGACCCGAGGGAGCATACATAGTGGTTTTGCCAAACCAAATAATTCCCAAGGGGTAACCAAAATGGACAGCAACTACAACTAAATATAAAGCAAAAATAACTGAACCCAAATTCCCCCATAACATATCAGCACATGCTTTGGTCCAATGTGTTGGCTCCAGGATTTAAGAGTCCTTAGCCTTCAGCCTCGCCTTTTGCTCCACCAGGAAGGGACCTCCCCAAACAGCCATGGTAACTGAAAGACAAAGAAACAAATGATTAATATCAAACAGTTCTAGAAATAAATAAAACAAATAAAACAATGTAAGATTAAAAGCAAATAAACAGATTATAAATCAAACCAACCATGTGATGTTAATTGTTCAGGTATTGCTTGACAATGATAGATGAAAGTAACCTGCTCTATTATGTGAGCAGTGGATATAAATTGGTTTTAACTGATTATTTTCATGGATGTATAAAGAGAACTGGATACAGCATTGAAGGCAGGGCCCGTCATTCCTATGAAAGTTGCTCAGTGGCACATGAAGTCAAAAAGGTTCGAATGCAGCTTATAAAATTATCCTTTGGTGCTGCTTCTGCATCACTGGGCCCATAGAGCAGGCAACACTAGAGACTTAGCTTAGAGATACGCCTACTTGAATGAGGCTAAGACGACTTAATCTTGCAGCTCCTCTAGACTTTTGAGATGTTATCTGACCGAAAGGTTCAAATTTTGATTGTGAAGTTATTCATTTCATGGGGGTTGTGACGCTCAAAGAAATGTATCCACTGCTATACAGAAGTCTCTTTCACAATATAAGTATAGGAAAAAGTCTTTTGGGCACGGTGGCATCGTGTGATGGACCTGGAAGTTGTAGGCTAATTCCACAGTTTGGCCACTACGAAAATTGGCTTCAAAGCCTGGCGCACTTCCTGAAGGCCTGATTAATTTGGCTCGGCAAAACATCAGTTACATTGATTAGATGTTGTGTTCCCCCACTCAAAGATAAAAGTTCATGTAATTTGCCACAAAAATGACGAGACTGAGGGTTGACAGCCATGCTGGTAGCTAAATGTTAACACCAATGTCCGCTCACAATAACATGCTCCATATGCTGTTGTTTACCAGGTATAATGTTCGTCATGTTCATTATGTTAGTTTAGCACGTTAGCGTACCAACATATGCTAATTAGCATGCAACACAAAATACAGTGCAGCTGATGGCAGTGTTATTATTTTTACGGCCATTGGCTCATAAAATAAAGTATCGGACGAATTTAAAGTTTGACCTGAGGGTAGTAGGGCACTCAAACAACAAATGTCAACTTCACGGTGGCACTAGACAGCCTGTTCCTTTTCTCACATTGTCCAACAATTTCTCACTCCGACCCCCTCACATTTCAATGTTTGGTCATGGATCTTCCACATCCACATACAATGTGCAAGGTACCCGGTGCGTTGGTTGTTGACGTTCTTGGACACTGTGTCAAGTTCTGCATGTTACATGTCTTGTCTTCTTTCAAAACAGACTTCCATTTTCACAGGAAACGCACTATGTCATGCAGTACAACAACCCCAAGTGACATTTTTCCTCCTCCAACAATAAATGCACATGGTTGGGTTTCAGGAAAAAGAACAGGGTTTGTTTTTAAAATCTTGCAAGACGTGAAGACCCCTCTCCCGATTGAAAGTTGGTGTTTGTTGGACCCATCCACCCCCCTTCCTGCCCACCCTACTCAGACTGTCGCGGCCTTAACTTTCGTGTCGGGGGAAATGCGGCGGGACCTGTAGCGTGTTATGTCAACATTAAAGGACGGCTTTTTGGGTTAGTTTCTGATACCACAAGTCACTGCCTAAGAGCTGGATCCCGACAACTTCGGAGTGAGACCGGCTTGCATTGTCAGATCCCGATGCTTTGTCACATCCCTCGCCGTTTGATATCGAGGCCTAGTGCACCCTCTGGCGTCTTTATGAGACACACCAGGCTTTAAGCTAATTCCATTGTAAAACGATTTGCATCAGTATTTGACACACTAAGCCAATGATGTCATATAAAGACTACAAAGGGGAGGTGGATGGGTCAGACAAACACAGACTCTGTTTGTAACCAAAAGTCATTACTGTTTAAACGTGACGTTATGTAACACCCATCCATCAATCACATACTTCAGTTACATACTTGTGAAGTATTTACATTATGTATTTATTTTCCGAGTTTCACCCAGGAGGCAGCTGTGTGTTACGTACAGATGTTAAAGGTTGCATCTCATACAGACACCAAAGGGTGCCCTTGGTATCAGTATTACACGCTGAGGGTTGTGAGAAACCATTGGTATGTGATGACCTGGGATGAGAACACAATGTGCTGGATGAAGAGTAAGGTTATCACTAAATGTATTCGTCATGAAAGTCCGCATAAAATTTAATAGCAGTCCATTCAATAGTTACTGACTTTTTCTACCTTCCCATGCCGCTAGCATGACTAAAAACCCAAACTAAAGGAATAGGCTAACATATTTCTGCTGTAGCTGGTACGCTGTATAATCTGAACAGGCCTCCTGTTGTAGTTTCAGTCTGTGTCTCGTGTTACAGGAAAATAGATATAGTAGATATAGAGTACAGTAACTATGGAAGGCCAAGAGCCTCCTTTCAACAAATAATTTGACCATCTTCCTCTCTCTCTCTCTTTCTCCCATATCCCCTCCTCCCTCTGGTTCCAGCCAATGGTGTGCAAAGCCCCTCGAGGACGCAGCACCAAGGTAAGCATGAGCCCAACAGCCACCTCCACACCTGCCCCAGACACCCAGAAAAACATGTCTGCTTTCAGGCCACGCCATGAAAACTTATCAGTGGGCTGGCTGTGTGTCAGTGACAGAGAGTACAGAAGGTAGATCAGTGCCTGGGGCTTTTTAAACAAGGTCACTTTCCCAGCTCTCCATTTCCCTAATCCCCACTTATTTGCTATGTAACCTCCCACCCTCTGCACCCACCTCACTCACTTCCAAGGAGTCATGTGGCTCATTGTGTGCCTTAACTTGGTAGGATTAGACTTTTCTTGCTATTAACTGTCATTACATGAGAGCCATGCTAGTCTCATCTATTTTTCTTTCTCCAAATAGAACTGTGTCGTTAAAATGTCCCTCCAACAGTAGAGCTTTTATGGGCCTCAGATTTTTCAGTGAGGTGGCACAATCATAACCAAACAACCTGAATATCCTCTTCTCACTCAAAGACAAAGTTTAAAAATGAATGTGACAGAGACAAGTTGTGACTGATGTTGTCTGCTTATCTCTCCAAAGTAAAACTGGTGAATGGACGTCACAGGTGTGAAGGGAGAGTCGAGGTGTACTACAATATCTCATGGGGCACAGTGTGTGACGACGACTGGGACATGGTGGACGCCAACGTGGTGTGTCGGCAGCTGGACTGCGGAGTGGCTGTGGCAGTGCACAGCAGCTCTCAGTTTGGACAAGGCACCGGGTTAATCCTGCTGGATAATGTGGACTGCAGAGGGAGTGAAACAGACCTCAGCAGCTGCCGTAGTCTGGACTGGGGCATCCATAATTGTTACCACTATGAGGACGTGGGTGTTACCTGCAAAGGTAAAGGCTTTTAATTCAGCTATAATTTGGCTGAGGTTGTGGTGAATCATCAGAAAAGAAAAGAGGACAAAGTCACTAAAAGTTTCTGCTTCTTTTCCATTTTGCTGTTAGAACCAGCAGTGGTGGGGGAGAGAGGGTCTGAGGATCGCACCACACTGCCCCACGAGAGCTCCGGTTTACGTAAGTGCTCTCTGCTTTTATCTAAATGAGACTGGTGCTCTGCCAACCTGAGACATCAGAGGATGGATCTGTCCTGTTTTTAGCATTAAGGCAAATGGCCAAAATTCAGAAAATGCTAAAAAAAAAAAAAAAGAATACTTCTCTAAATAAGATGTGTAGAAATACAACCCCAGACAGTGAAACAATAATCCTTAAACTTGGAAATGACTACAAGTATAAACTTGTCATGTTTCACTGTTGAAAATTCTTTCCTGTAGAAATTTAAAGCTGCCCTATCAGTATTTTATTTATTTTTTTGGTGTGTCACGTCCAACATCAAGGACAGGCCAGACAACAGGTAACAGTACAAAAGCAGCATGAAGGCCTGTGAAATATATATCTCTTACTTATTCGGTCTCTCTTTTAAATTTGGTGCAGACTAATTTAGATCGATGTTTGAGCGCAGTGTTAGCAGGTTTTTGTGCAATGGAAAAGGGACTTTATAGGGTTCAAAACCTACACCCTCAAATCTGCAGGCTAGACAGTTATCTTGACTTTAGACGTTGATAACTCAGCCCATTGTCATTCCCAGTTTGTCAAAGACAGACGCTTTGTCAGGTGATATCGACGCAAAAGGCAAACTTTGGACATCTTTATGAGACAGCCTTCAACTAACTCCAATGTAAAGCTATCTGGGGCAAAACTTGACGCTGAGAGTAACTGATATATAGGCGAAATAGTCCACGCAAGGTTGGATCAAGTTCGGGTGGATGGGTCAAACAAAACTGGACTTTCATCCAGGAGACTGCTGTTTGTGTACTGTGTGAGACCAAAAGTCAGTGTTGTTTTAATGCAACTTCACATAATTTACATGTGGTTGTCGAGCACTGATGTCACTTATGTATGTCACATTATGTTATGTAACAAACATACTTTTTTTAACCCAAAACATGATTTTTTTTAGAAAATAACCTAACTAAATAATGTTGTTGTCTAAACCTAACCATGATCTTGTCAAGACGTTAACCAAGTAGCTGTCCATGAGACACCACAGGAAGAAACAGCACCTCAAAATAAAGGTTCTGTGGCAGAAATTCATTGTAGTTAATACAAGTGTGTTTTTTTTTTTAACAAACTTGACACCTCTGCAAGTCACTCGCAACCCACTTTTGGACCACAACCCACCAGTTGGGAAACACCTGCCCTAAAGGGTACCCTGTGTGTCACTTTCAGACGCTGAGAGTTGTGACAAAGTGTCAGTATTTGACAATCTGGGAGTGAGAACAAGCTGGATAACTCAGTGGCTGAAAGGATCTTTATTATTATCAAACTGCATTTAAAATACCTGTATCCCATCATTCCTTTGCAATTTGAATCGCAAAGCTCTTATAAAGTTAGTTTATACAAAAAGACATGCTACAGTTATAAACTTGTCTTGTTTCATTGTTGAAACTTCTTTCCTGTAGAAATTTAAAGCTGCGCTAGTAGTATTTTTCATATGACAATGGATCACATAACTACTTGTAGCCTATGTATAAGAGGTTGCTTGTGCAGTGATGAATTCACAGAAAAACCTTTGAATGTATTTTTCATATTTTTTGCATTATATAAGAATAGTGACATGTTTAACTGCAAGGAAAACATATTAGCCAGGCACTCAGATAATAATCCTTACAGATGGACTGGTTCATATTGGACTACAGATCTAACAGGATGAAACATTTCAAGCTAATTAGCCTTAGCTCTGTGAGTGACCCAGATTCAGCTAGCTACCGTTCTACATATAAACATAATAAACAGTCATAAGTGTGAGAACAGATTAACAACATGAAACATGTAAAATGATGTCACAAATTATGTCAGGTCCTGAAAACAGACTCAGTGTAATTGTAGTCCCTTATTTTGAATACCAGTAGATAGAAGAAGAAAAGCTCATTTAAATGAACAAATGTATTTTTAATGTACATTATTCTGTGTTTATGTGATAACCAGGACTTAAGACAGGAATGATCCATATAGTACTTCTTTCTGCAGGTGGCCTAGAAACATGTTTGAAACTGAAAGCTATTCTTGCTCAGTGTCTGCTGGATGTGTTATCAGACAAAAGTTTGCTAACACGTTAGCCATTTCGTCCTAAAAAGGTTGACAGTGCTTTGTTCACAGCTTGTTCTCACTGCCCCCAAGTGGCCAAACAAATCACTTATTACAAGTCTCGGCATTTGACCCTGAAAAGCACAAACCACACCTGTATGTGACATTAACCTTCAGTGGACACAGCTGATGAAATTCAAATACAACTAAAACCTTCTTGACTGTAGAGGATAAAATATGTTGCATACTCAAAGGAATTAAACTTCAGACCAGCTTTTCTCTGTGTTTGATTAGATGATTTTCTATGCTCTAGGATGAAATCTAGCAGACAGGTGGCATGCCAGATGTTACTTCAAACTGCAAGGGCAGGTTTCATTAAATAATGACTGATGGCTTATTTTGTCATTTCGTGGGTCTAAAATGCAGGGATCCTCATGGAATAATCACAGTCAGGTTTATTTAGAAAAACAGGTTTATAATTGACTTGGAGGCGTTTTAGTTTTGCAAAACTGTCATCACATTTTACACAACAGCAAAGGCTTTTCAGCTCGGTGGAAAGTATCTTTTGGGAAACTACAACACACCTCAAAGGCATCTTGAATTCCAGGCTGTCTGTATTGTTTGCTGGATTTGCCTTTGTTATGGCTGTTTCTTTCCCTTAAATCCCGTGAGGATCATGACAGACTAGAATCCAGTTCTGTTAACTAGTGACGTATCAAGCTAATTCTCTGGTGTCCTTCATGAAACCCAGTGGGAATGCAGTGAAGCCTGATTCATGGCTTCCTCTCAGATGAAGCACATTTTTAAACGATGGACACATGAGAGAGTCTTTTGTCTCTTTTTTAAGGCGTTTTTTTTTTTTTGTCTGCTAAATGGCAACATCTGTGCTTAGCGGTATATCAGATGTTCACCTTAACTTCAGGAGTCACAGTATGTATTGTGAAGGCCCACACCCGTCTCCTTTCCCTGTATCAATGTCTCTTAATAATTACCTCTGTCCAAGGGTGTAGGTTTCGATTCAACACTGGGGTGGCCACATGTTAAGCAGGAGGTATGGGGATTCATCCTCAGAAATTTTGAGCATCAAACACTTAATTTTCTGCATTTTTAGTGCATTTTTTTGCCTCAATTTATGATGTGGGCATATGCACATGCTTCATACAGTTACCCAGTGTTTCCCATACATTGATTTATTTAATCTTATTTCATTTTAGAGTTGCGCACAATGGTTTTGCACAGCCCCTCCTTGCCTCGCTGTCTCTCTCTGTTTGTCAGAATTGGCGAGCTTGTGCTTGTGCACCCCATGATCTCTCCACCTCACTGCATGTCACAGCAGGCTGGTGGCCACTGGCAGCACTGGGTCTAACCTGTGTAACAGCAGCAACAGAAAGTTTGCTGATCCAGTGGGGAGTCAGGGCGCCTGGATTTGGGTTGCTGTGGTTGCTGATTAGAGAGCTGTTTCCAGAGCCTTTGGATGCTTCTCCTCCTGCTGGGGTGGTCTGTAACAGAGGGGAGTGAGGCAGAGGACACACTGTAGCCTCTTTTACACTGCCAGATTTTCCGCGAAAGTTGGCCAGCTGCAAGCGTTTATACACACAGAGGTTGAAAGGTGAGTTGATTCGAGGCGCCCAATTTTCCGCCTCGGAGGGTAGTCATATTGGTGGAACCCTTTAAGTTTAAACAGACCGAGGCAGCCTTCTACCACGGGAGGGGCTGTTGAAGACTTGTGGGAGGAGCTGTTGATGACGCCGCACGTCCAACCCACCGCCGGTGGATAAACAGGAAACAGCTGATAGCAGGAATTAGCGAGCATTTAGTAGCAAGAGGGAAACGCAAACCTGAAAGACACTGTAAAGATGAGCAACTGGGGAGACAAGGAATTGCGCGCCCTCCTTGTCCTCGCAAATGAAGAGGCCATTAACCGTCAGATGATGGGGCAGTGAAGAATGGGCCATTTTACGAGAGAATCGCCGCCTGACTACCGCCACCTGACTACCGCCGCCTGATTAGCCGTGGCTTCCCTCCCATGTCACTGTTTATGTCACACGCTGAGCTACACGTTTTGCTACTTGCTCACGCCCCCCATTGCCCCAAAAAGGAGCATTCTGTATAAACAAAAGTAGGTAGGCGAAAATTTTCCGCTCTCCCCGATTTTGTTTTTATACTACCAATGCTGAAAAAATACTGATTGGGCTTTGCTGCAAATTTGCACAATTCATATCTAAAAAGGGCTCATGTGTCAGCCCTGTGATAGTCTGGTGACCTGTCTAGGGTGGGATAGGCGTTCCACTTGAATCACAATATACTGAAAGGTTATAATGGGATTTTTGCCCAATGACACCCAAATATAACCGCCTACCCCAGCTTTAAATGTGCATGTGGTATCTACTGTGTGTCAATAATAAATTAATCTATTTTAATTAATTAAAAAAAAAAAACCTGGCAAGATTTCTGCTCATGTTCAAAACACATGCCACTGACTTCAACACAAGCAGACACACACAAATCCTAGCAGTTATCCCAGCACGTATTAAATTTGACATTAATATAGATTCTAATAAAAACCAACAGAGTCTAAAACTGTGTTGTAGAAAATGATGTTGCAATAAATCCCCCTCTTTCTGTCTTGGTTTAGGAGATGGCACCATCCGTCTGATGAATGGAAAGGAAGCCTGCCAGGGCCGGGTAGAGATCTACTACCTGGGAAAGTGGGGGACGGTGTGTGATGATGACTGGGACCTTGACAATGCCCATGTGGTGTGCCAACAGATGGGCTGCGGCAGCGCTGCCTATGCACACACCAACTCTTACTTTGGCTATGGAACTGGTCGGATTCTCCTGGACAATGTCAACTGCTACGGCACTGAACATGACTTGACAAAATGCAAGAGCCTGGGCTGGGGCAAACACAACTGTGGCCATCATGAGGATGCTGGGGTCACCTGTACTGGTACGCTGCTCTGAGTCATAGAATATGAATTAACACAAGTTTGCATTAACACATTCCCTGCGTAAACTTAAGTTTATTTTGAAAAGACATCGTATGTAACAAGCATAACTGGACATGTTGTCCCTGAGCGACACTGCAGGAGTAGCTAGAGCGTCACAGTTTGACGTGTTTGACGAACTCGGAGTGAAGCATATTTATTTATTTATTAAATGTATTTGTTCATTTATTTCTGCATTTATTTGCTTTTTTTTGTTTTTACAATACATAGATATTACATTATTATTATTATTATTATTATTATTATTATTATTATATTAGAAAATAATCTATTTTGATTGTTTTTATTCTATTTTAATCTATTTCTTGTTGTTCTGTTTCTTTATTTCTTTTTAAAATAAGAATGCAATTTTGTTTGCTCTTTATTTTTCCAATTTTTTTCCTATTGCTTTTTCTTTTCTGCTTTGGCTTTTTTGAATGTGAGCTATTAAATAATAGTAAATAATAAATAATTATAAATTAATACAGAAATAGGTAAAGAGAGATGTGTGATATTAAATGAAAATGCTTATAATTAATTAATTCCTTTTTGTTATTTATATTATTAAATTAATGTTATTTTATTTATTTATTTTCACATTTTTATGTATGTTCTTTATTTTATTATCTATTCCTGTTTATATTTCCACATTTATTTTGTTATTCTTTTATAGATTTTTTATGGCACTCCTATGACTCCATAGACAATAAGTCAGTCAGTAATGTTCAGGTATAGATAAAACAAGATTAAATCTAATTTACTGATTTTCAGGGGAAATTAAATAAGGAGTATGAGAGGAGATTATAATGACAATAATGTAGTAGTGGTATTAGAAGGTATTTTTGGTATTTCTGTACATATACAGAGTATTTCATATCCATTTCTACCCATTTCAGGATCCACCACTGTACCTCCTGTGGTAACAGAAGGCCAGAGAATGTTCTCTACAGTATATAACACTGAAGGTATGCAAACATAATATACAGTAGATGCTTATTAGCAAGCACACATTGATTTTCACTCTTTTGCATCAGCATGTCCAAATGTTTTCCTTATTTTTTCTCTCTTTAAAAATGAAATGTGCACTTTTGCCAAATGGCCAACAGGGGGAGCCATTTCTCCCTCATTGCCTTGAAATGTGTTACATCACAGTACCATGAAGCATGCTGGTGAAAGGGTGTAACAGGTTAATGTCACCATGATCATCATGAACAGGTAGTTTCTGGTGTACTGAGAGTAATCTTATCATGCGCTACATCTTCCCTCCAGCAACAGAAAAGGTTCCAGTCACCATGTCTCACACTACAACAACTGTTACCACAACTGTCCAGACAAAAGGTAACAATACTAAACTTTAAACACAAATACAGTAGGTTTTAATTTATAGCCTTTTATTCACGTTTCAGATAACACACTGCATTGATGTACCTGTCAATTTATTCCTGTGCAGGCAAACCAGCCATTCGTTTGATGAATCCTCTGAATAACAACACCTGCGAGGGTCGTGTAGAGGTCCTCTACAAAAATGTTTGGGGGACGGTGTGTGATGATGACTGGGACATGCTCAATGCCAATGTGGTGTGCAGGCAGCTAGGCTGTGGCCCAGCTATTGGGGCCAAGAGTCAGGCCTACTACGGCTACGGTCCGGGGCCGATCCTTCTGGACAATGTAGAATGTAGCGGCAATGAACCGGAGCTGTCTGAGTGCTTCCACCTGGGCTGGGGTCAGCACAACTGTGGCCATCATGAGGACGCTGGAGTTAAATGTGCATGTAAGACCTGGATCTCTCTAACACCATGTGGGGGGTAAAACTACCTCCATTAGGCATAGATGTACAATACTCAACTCAAAGGAAGTGTCTGTATCACAAACCTCTATCTTGAATCATCAATTCCAGTGAAAGCTTGTACTTCCCTTTTCATCCGGTGATCTGTGCTCGCCCTGCTGAGCTGTCCACTTGCAATGCATGACTGTAGTACTTTGAGGAAGAGACAGCCCAGAGAGCATAAAAAATACAGTGGATGAGTCAAGCCACATCAGCGTCACTGCATGCCTGCAGGCCAAATTTCACTTCTTCAGGGCTAAATCAAAAGCACATACAGACTCCTCTTTACTTAAATAGCACATCCATGCTTCCAAAAAGCAGCGGTTTTTAATCAGTTGTAGAGTAATTCTGCCTTCAGCAGGTAATTAGGGTAAAGGGGACATGACAATTTGTATTTATATTGTTAAATTGCACTGCAAAGTGTCTCCCTGTATTGTGGCCTTAAAGGTGTATTTCACCTGCAAAATGACCATTCGTAAATTAATTAGCCTACTCACAGCGTGTTACCTCGAAGAGAACCTTGTTTTTCTTGCATGCCTCAACCGTGAACAGAAAGTCCAAAAAAGGCAAACGTTCTTCATGAATCGAAGTAAACAGGGTCCGCTTTTAAAACTATATCAAAATATCCTCTCACAGAACTCGTGCAGTATAATGCAAGTCTCATCTATCTCATGCACGGCCGAGTAGCGTGCCATGGTCATTTGGACTGTGCTCAAGCAGAGCTCAGGTATGCTCAGGGCATGCTACTTTTATTTGGAAGCGTTTAATATTTCAACATTTAAGCGAAAATGCATGTGTTTGGGCAACATACTCTCACTCCGACCTCGTCACATATTGACGTTTCATCATGGACCTTCCACATCCAGATAGGACAGCAAAGGTACCCTGGGTGCGTTGGTTGTTATTGACATTCTGGGACGCTGTGTTGAGTTCTTCCTGTTACATACATTGTCTATTTTCAAAACGCATTTCTGTTTTCACAGGAAATGCACAACGTTAGTACAACAACGCAAATTGATGTTTGATCCAACCGACACACATGGTTGGGTTTAGGCAACAAAAGCATGTGGTTGGGTTTAGGAAAAAAGAACAGGGTTTAGCTTTAGACTTTTATGGGGTGTGAACACTGCTGTCCCGGGTGAAGGTAAGGGTTTGGTGGACCCATCCACCACCCCTCCCAGCCACAGTAGTCGGACTTTCGCCACCTTAACTTTCGTACTTGTCCTGCCGTATTTCCCCCTGACGCCACTGTGCACTGTTAAACTATAATGGCAACTAGCTGCAAATTATACAAACATTGAAGGACGGCTTTTTTTGTTGGTGTCTGATGCCGCAAGTCACTGCTCAAGCACCACATTTTGACAACTTGGGAGTGAGACTGGATTGGTTTGGGATGTACTGAGCATACAGCTTGATAAATACGACTTGGGTTGTGTGTGACAGTTTGTGAAAAGATGTTCTTATATAATTTTGCTGTTGTTAAACACCGTCTCTGTTTTCCTTAATTCATGAAAAATATTAGCCTTTTTTGGATACTCCATTCATTGGAGAGGCATGCAAGAAAAACATAGTCTTCTTCATGAATTCAAAGAGACACATAGCAAGTAATTAATATGCAAATGATCATTTTTCAGATGAATTGTTCACTGAGCCTTGCTTTTGCTTTTGTCACTTGATATTTCCTGCGTATGCTCAGGACCCAGAATAATGACTGTTTTTTTCTGCTTTCCTCCACTTTCTGTAGCTTTTGAATACTACATTGGATATGGACGAGACTTTAGAGTAACAGAAAGGATACCTGCCACCACCACTACTGCCACCCCGCAACCCTCTGAAGGTACGTCAAATATATCTTCAACCAGCACAACATCAACCCATTTCCTTTAGTTTACAAAAAACAGTTCAGATGCTGAATTTATGTGATTCTTTGTTGTTTTTGCAGGGGCAATGAGGCTGGTTGGTGGCCAGCACCAGTGTGAAGGCCGGGTGGAGATATACTCAAAGTCTGCATGGGGCACAGTCTGAGATGATGCCTGGGACCTCCCTGACGCTCAGGTCGTGTGTCGCCAGGTGGGCTGTGGAGAGGCCACGGCTGCTTGGGGAGAAGCTTTCTTCGGGCCCGGCACAGGAACAATCCTGCTGGACAATCTCAAGTGCAGCGGTGCGGAGGCTTCCCTGTTGGAGTGCTCCCATATATCCTGGGATGTGCACAACTGTGACCACTCTGAAGATGCTGGCGTCACCTGCTCGCTGTCGTGATTTCAGCAGAACCACACTCCCATCTCCACCATGGGTAGGAAGTGGGCTCACCAACCTGGGACTTGTATACATTATGTAAATAACAGCTGTCACCGTGCTGAAGGAATACTCCACCACCAACAACATACAAAATAACTCATATGACAATATATGATTACATACTATAAACTATCTATGCCTATTAAGCACTTTATAAATAAATATATGATATAAAATACAATGTACACAGTTTTTTATTTGATAAACCAAGGAAGCTTTTAACCGCCTGTCTCTCTCTTTTTTGCCCCAAACTGTTAAAATATTTACTGTACATGTGATTCCTGATTACTAAGTAAGACAACTGACATCATTAAGAGGATGAAAGGAGACCATTTTGTAGACTTCAGTTCCAAAGTCAGCAAATATGTATGATAAGATAAACAGAGATATAAATGGGATCAAATTATAGGCTTTACTACAAAGCACAAGAATGCAAGATCGCAGAAAACATCCATAAATAAATGTGTTATATACCTTGTGAACTTACAGCCTCTCTCCATCTACAAATAAATGATGTGTTACTTTTGTTCTGTAAACCATCATATAAATAAATGTACCTAATAATCATTTACATGTGACAAAATAAATGTTATTTTTCAGTATATAATATATTTTTGGTGTAAAAACAGTTTTTTTTAAACAGTATCTGCTTTGGTAATTTTCCTAAACGTGCTATAATTTGTAATGTTGTATTCTTATTTAATGGCACATGCAAATATGGTGAGTCAGAGTTGATGTGTTTTACAGCAGGTTTAACACCTTTTAATTCTTAAACCAGCCCAATTTGTCATCACTGCGGAAGCCTGGAGAGGCAAGGTGATTTTATTTCTTCTTGTGGCAAGGTTTATCTCCTACGTAGAAGATATTGGGTGCGTTCCGAATTGCATACTTTTTACTTTTAGTAGGTACTGCTGCTGCCCTCAAAGGTATGTACTATTGCATGCAGTATGCACACAATTGGGACATGCAACTTCCTCATAACATTCCACCCTGAACTTTGACCCCCATATACACATATATCCGTTACCATGGTGATAAAACAAAATGCTGTTGATGGTGAAATGACATAGGCTACACATTTGCCTGTCATCGTTATTTAATACTGTTGCCCTGTCTTGTTGGTTATATGATTATTTTATTAAATTAAACAACTAATATTCCTTTTATTACTAATCAGCTGGTCATCAGTCACCTGAATGCACTATCATCTATCACTGTGACTTCTGACAGCTGTCAGTGAGCTGTGAAATCGATATAACATTTTGTTTGCTGTACAGAGGATTGTGGGTCAGAATAACCACATAAGCATGCTGGCTTGCATACTGCAAAATCCTACCGCATATAGTAGGACATCCTGTTATTTTTGATAAACTGTGTTTGACATACTATGTATTGGGACATACTAAATCTTTTTCTGGCTTACTATATCATATGGTAGTATGGGGAATGAAATGCGCACATTATTTCCTATCCTATGTGGGAAATATGCTGTTGTCTGCTATGAGATAACCATAGGTTTTCACCAACATTGCCTGAAAATAAATAGGCCTAAATAAATAAATAGAAATAATTTTGCCTCCCAGGACCTCCGTAATTTGTCATTATATAAACAAGCTAATTGGTGAGCTAATGCATGATGTTAGCTTATTCAGTCCATGTAACCGAATAACAGTATTGCTAGCATCATTTAGCTGATATGTGAGTCTCAAATTCAATTCAATTCAATTTTATTTATAAAGCCCAATGCTTCAGAGCGCTTTACAGCATAGCAAATGAAAAAACCCAGTTACCATTTAATGAAATTGCACTCAATGTATACAATAGCAAACTGACAAAACTTAGCTAGCAGTAGCCACTGTGGCCACATGTGATATTTACAAGATGACGATAAATGTTAAAATGTAGTGTTATAGGTGCAAAAATAGCGGTTAAAGTCAGTAAATTGACTCATTAGTGTCACTTACACAGTAGTGTTGATATAAAGTTTGCTAACGTTAGCTAACATTAGCCACAAAGAGCTAAGTATGCTACTCCTAATGTATTGAAATGTTTTTTTTTGGTTAATAAATTCAACTTCTATAAAATCCACATATTGAAAAAAAATGAATGTTTTAGGAGAGGTCAAGAAGCCAGAGGCTTTAACACAAGACTTTAACTTCATGAAACAACAGAGAACAACAAAAAGGAAAGGAGAAAAAATAAATATTAACTAACCAACCGAGCAAACAAGATAGAAACCTAAGCCAACATAATTTAGAGAAATACAACAAAAAATAAATGACACCAAGAAGCACACATGATGAGCAAAATAAATAAAGATAAATACATGAGGTACAATACAGAGGAAGAGAGGAGTAAATTTTGATATCCGGCGGCATGGTGGTGCAGTGGTTAGCATTGTCCCCTCACAGCAAGAAGGTTCCTGGTTCTGGCCCGGGATTCAAACCCCAGGGTGGGGGAGCCCTTCTGTGTGGACTTTACATGTTCTCCCTGCTAAAACAGCCCTGTGATAGTCTGGCAACCTGTCCAGGGTGTACCCCGCCTCTCACCCAATGACAGCTGGGATAGGCTCCAGCCCCCATCCCCCGCGACCCCTCTGAGGGTACGCAGTAAGCAGTTAGGGAAAATGAATGAATTTTGGTATCCTAAACAAGCAGGAATTAAAGATAATCAGAATTTACCTGGAGACACAGTATCTTGAATCTGAGTTTCTTTAAGTTACCAGTTAAATGGAGAAATTTGGGATTCACATTACAGATGGTCAGAATTGCAGATATCTGTTTTGGATGTTTCACATACTCTGATTGCAAAAGCAAATTTATCTTTATTGATCAAATTTTACTTAGAGATTAATTCAGCATCTAAAATCAGCACTTTGATCAGTAAAATATGGCATTTTGACTCATGTCCAGAGATATGTATACACACAGTATATGGTAAACGGCTTTCTATATAATCTAACAGGCTAGAGAGCAAAGCTGGAGCTGACTGATCATTTTCAGAAACAGCCAGTGTCTCACAGGCTGGGAAACAGACTGGGCTGTGTACAGTAAGAGGGCGTGTTTGATGACTCATGATAAATGACTCAGCATGTCAGCGTTATGAGCCTGCTTCATACCTACAATCACTACTCTATCACTAGAAATGCCATATCCAGAAATGGCATATCCATGATGGCTTATCAAAGAAATATATTACATGAGACCATCCTCGTTCTATTCACATTTTCTATTAAAAAAAGCTACATTGATATTTGACATTCGGCTCTACTACTTCATTATCTAAAACTAAAAAGTGGAACTTGTTACAAATTCAGAATCTTTGGCTTATAAATGATACTTTAAATGATAGTAGGCTTGCTGTTATGCTTCTCTGCTGCCATGTTGCAGTCATGTCAAACACAAGATATGAACTGCTCTGTGGTCACAGGTGTGTCTTTTCTTTATCAGTGACAAAGCCTTTGAAGGTGACTCAGCCAATCAGAGCAGAGGACAGCAAATCTGTTGCATTGACTACTGTATAATTACTTTAATAGAAATAATACATAAAACATGTTTTTGTTACATATTAGCTGTTACAGATATGTACATTGATCATTTGGCATCCTATATTTGGTAAAAAAAAATTATGTCACCACTGCTTTCAGCAAAAAAACTGTGGGACTTTCACTTGAACATCAAGTTTATATATATATATATATATTCTGCAAACAACATATGAAAGTATCACTTAGGAGCATGACTCAGAACATGATCTTGTGTCATACAGTATATTCTTATTTCAGCACATGGTGGTGGGCTACTTGGAATTGGCATCACATGCATGTAGCAATGAGCTGCTGTTGCACAGCGTCAAGTATTCCAGTTCTGTGATACTACAAGACAAGGTTTGTGTGCAGTAATCTGTTAACACACATATTAATAGAGTTTACTTTAGTTTATTAGGATCCCCATTACTGCATTGCAGCAGCCTGAGGTCCATAACAACTTTACATTTGTGACAATTTTTCAAAACATGTGCATTAAAAGGAATAGTTACCAGGAAAAAAACAATATCTTTACCATGCATGAAGTTCAGTTTCTTGTCATCTCTTTTGGAAAACATGAAAATATGATTAGCATACTAACAGAAAAAAAATCACTGATTAATCCTGAGACACACGACACAGTCAAACATACCTATGATATTAATTAATTTGACTTTGAAGACTATACTTTTCTCTGTTAATAGAGGACTATCAACAATGTAAACATGATATCAGCTTAAATGATAAAGGCCAGATTTTGACAATGGGACCCTTCTTTAAGACAGAGCCCGAAATCGGGTAGGCACTCATCATGTTGGTTGTGCTTTTGTAATGCATATTCAGTTAGTATTGTACATTTCTGCAATCAGGATGTGCTACATTTATAAGTTTCATACGAATCATATCAACATTTCTAAAGTAATGTACTTCTGACTACATGTATATGAGCTGACTTTGTCTCCAGGAGGTGGAGGGACCACTGTTAAGTACAACGAACCAAAGAAGTGGGTATTTTAAATGACATGGCGGGACATCTTCAGCCATGTTTGTGGCGATGATGTATTTTAAGCCTAAATATGATCTGTTCCTAACCATGACCAAGTAGTTTTGTGCCCAAACCACGTTAACCACAACATAAAACTGTACAATGAAATACAAGGAAACAAAGTTTGCACGGAGATGCTACATACATAATGTAGCATCTCCGTGGTTTGAAGAATACCGATATTTAATCTGACGCTTGAGTTGTGCATAAAAGCACAGCCTTTCGAGCAGGCCATGAGGGTCTGGGTCCCAGGGCAGTTGGCATTTGCATCGATGGACTGAAACGGACACAGGGGCCCAATGCATTAGAGGCTTCTCTGTGCATTAATCTGCAAAATGTCATTAAATTAACACATACTGACCAGAAAGTGACTCAAAAAGACCACAAAGAGATGTTAAAGACACAAATAGACACAGTAGAGGCAAAACAACTACAAAGAGACACAAAATGTCTACAAAAACATAGACAAACAACCAGTCTTAGAACCCATCGGCTTTCAGTCTGTCGACAGAGATTTGGTGTAACAGGCGGATGAAGGACAGATACATAACAACAACAACAACAAAAACAGTAATATGTATAAAATCATGTCTGTCATTGAACCAAAACAAATCTTATACCGTTGGAAAGCTTGTTTATTTCCCTTTTAAA